AGAGTTTCTCACTTGGTCTTGGTCCTGATGGTCTGACAGCTACTGGCTGCCAAAGCAATCTGTAGATTCCTTCTGCCAGCCTGTGAAGATCTTTTCTTCTGCATTCCCAGAGTAGAGGAAGAGGCCCCTGAAGGAAAAAAATACACATGGACATGATGAATAAAATACCTATTGCAAATCCCATTACTTATTATTAGGCCACTCAATTTAACACTGTTAATAATATTTGGGGAAATTATGTGATAAAAAGTGTATGCAATTAATCATGGCCACTGACTAATGTGAACTCTTTTTTTTTTTTTTGGTGCCGTCAAGAGCAATTCAAGCTTGAAATACTACTTTTATGCTTTTGCGAAGTCTACTATTACTGCTACTATATAGGCTTAGATCTCTGCCACAATTCTGCGCGGGAAAGATCATATTTTGAGCACACAAAAGTGCATTTTGCACGCACGCGATCTGAGTTTTGTGGAGAAAATGTTCTTTCGCAAAGAAAAAAGTATTTCAAGCACACGAAAATCAATTTTGGATTAAAAATAAGTTTTTGGATGTGTGCAGACCTTCTCTTTTGCGCGTGCAGCGTTTCACTAGCTTGCTCACCTGATGCCCGCCCTCAGTGCTCTCTAAATGCCAACATCTTGCTTGCTCAACACAACCAAGCGTTACAATATGCCATAATTCCAGCCAATCAGAGACGAGGCTGCTAAATTCTGATTGGCTGCCTTGACAACCATTCACAACATTTCTTGCATTACCACGACAGCAGAAGAGGAAAAATACAGTGCATGCATAATTATTATGCAAGTTGATATTCTGATTATATTTTTTTCCAACATTTTACCAATTCCAAACAACATCAATCTTAATAACTACCGTATTGACCCGAATATAAGACAATGTTTTTTACTTGGAAAAAACGCGGTCGTCTTATATTCAGGGTCTAGACTTTGACATGTCAATAATACACCCACAACACTAGGTGGCGCCCTATATTCGGGCCAATACGGTACTATTAATCTTGTATTTAATCACTTGTAATCTTTATATTATTGTTCATGAAGGCTGGAAGTGAAAAACGCCTTATATTCAGGTGTGCATAATTATTAAGCAGGTTATCTTCTACAGATAAAATCTCAAGATGGACTAAAAATGAACTCCCAAAACTTACTGCCAGATTCTGGAAGATAAATTCTTCAAACAGTGGTACAAGAGGATGTGGTGCTGGTCCTTCAAGAGTCACTATCAACTTATCTGTCTATAAAGCCTAATATATATATATATATATAAATCAGTCTTCAAGTATTTTACTACACTTCAGTATGTGATTCTTATTAAGTAGGGGTAATTTTTTAGGATTCTATACTTAACCTAAGTCTCTGAGAACCTGACACCTTGTACTTCTGGAGACTCCAGGTAGGTTGCAGTTCTGGAAAATGGTGGCGCTAGAAATGTTGTGAATGGTTGTCAAGGCAGCCAATCAGAATTTAGCAGCCTCGTCTCTGATTGGCTGGAATTATGGCATATTGTAACGCTGGGTTGTGTTGAGCAAGCGAGCTGTTGACATTTAGAGAGCACTGAGGGTTGGCATCAGGTGAGCAAGCTAGTGAAACGCTGTACGTGCAAAAGAGAAGGTTTGCACACATCCAAAAACTTATTTTTAATGCAAAACTGATTTTCGTGCGCTCTAAATACTTTCTTCTTTGCGAGACAAACATTTTCTCCACAAAACTCAGTTCGCGAGCGTGCAAAACGCACTTTTGCGTGCTCAAAATATGATCTTTCGCGCGCAGAATTGTGGCAGAGATGTAATCCCATACTACTACAGGCAACATGCCTTGCCAAACCACACTTACTGAAAGCAGACAGCACAGAATGAGTGGAGCTGTTCACACAGGACATGTTCATGTATTCAAAACAGCTGGATAGAGCCCAGCAGAACAAAAAGTTCAACTACTTTTAACTTCTCACAGCATCTTAAAGACAAGCTTGAGATGCTGAAAAACAGCAAGACCTGACTTGAATTTGATTAATTAGTCGGATATAATGTAATTCGATTAAGATTTGGATTTGACAGCCTTATTGTATGCTGTCAAACTCTTAAAGATGTTTTATTGTTCTTAAAACTGTCTGCACAAAAAGAGAGACAGAGAAACAGATCTACAAGTTTTTCTGTAAGGCAGGCATTCAACCACATGTTAAAGCAAGTCCACATGAGAGCTCCTCTCCTCTCTCTTGCTAATTTGGCAGCCCAGGGATTTAGAAAATAACTTGTTCTTATGTGTCTGTTACTGTGGTTAGTTTAGAGTCCAAGTGTTTGCCTGGATTTCTTACTTGGACATGTTATAAAGTGCTCTTTCTTAAAGGAATAGTTCACCCCAAAATGAAAATTTGTTGAAAATGTACTCATCCTCAGGCCATCTAAGATGTAGATGAGTTTGTTTCTTCATCTGAAAAGATTGAGAGAAATGTAGCATTGCATCACTTGCTCACCAGTGGATCCTCTGCAGTGAATGGGTGCCATCAGAATGAGAGTCCAAACTGCTGATAAAAACGTCACAATAATCCACAAGTGAGCCACACGACTTCAAACTGTTGCTCCTGGGTAATATACGAGTTCTCCATTCATAATATTGCTTTCTCTATTGAAAAAATGGTCTCATCTGAAACAGGAGAGAAGTATGCACAGATTAAGTACTGTTTACAAGCAAATATTGTCTAAAACAGTTGTAGACATATATGCTGGTGGATTTTGATGTGAGAGGACAACAAGGGATGGACTGGATGGGGGAAGCATTATTGTTTATGGATTTGCGTTTTAGCCAGAAGCGACAGTTTAAAGTTACAACACATTGATGGATGATGGATTTGTTTTTTTACAAACAAGCAGCGTTTCGCTTCACAAGATGTTACTTGATAGACTGGAGTCATGTGGATTACTTGTGATGTTTTTATCAGCTGTTTGGACTCTCATTCTGACGGCACCCATTTACTGCAGAGGATCCGCTGGTGAGCAAATTATGTAATGCTGAATTTCTCCAAATCTGTTCCAATAAAGAATCAAACTCATCTTGGATGGCGTGAGAGTTTTCAGCAAATTTTTATTTTTGGGTGAACTATTCCTTTAACTCTTCTCAATCAGTTCTGTTTAATTCCTTCAACTATTCCTTTAACTGTTCACTTGAAGGTGAAATGTGAGTGGCCAACTTTTTCTCTGGGCAGATTAATGCATCAAAGTGTATTTCCATGACAGGTCACATTATCACAGTCTCATCCCTTGTGCTTGTTTCCCACAAGACTAGAAAGCTTTCGAGAGCTTCAATCGTTGTCCTTAAACCTGAGATGCACATTACACACCTCGCACATTACAGAGCTGAGAGCATGTCCTTGTCATAATGACAGTGCAAGTAAGCAACGGGAACAGCAGCTCAATATTTAGACACTGAAGTGAAGGGGAAGTCTTAGCCTTAGGGGAACATACAGGATATCATTTGCTGAGATAATCAGTGGTTCGCTAACAAAGCCTGGAGTTGATTTATGGTTTCCAAAGTTCCTCCTGCAACACTTGATACTTGGCTTTTGTTTGTGTGTCAAAAAAAAGAAGTAAAAGAATAAATACAGATGAAGTTATTGAAAGGGATAGATTGAGGGACAGTGACATATATTGTATGCTGCTTAACTATGCAATAATAGATTGCTATGCAATAATGTTTTGAAAGAAATTAATACTTTGAACCAGCTAAGAGGCTTTAAATGGATCAGTAAAGACATTTTTCATTGTCAACATTGATAATAATAAGAAATGTTTCTTGAGCACCAAATCATCATATTAGCATGATTTCTGAAGGATCATGTGAAACTGAAGATTGGAGTAACGATGGTGAAATTTCAGCTTTGCATCATAGGAATAAATTACATTTTAAAATGTATTACAGCAGAAACGGCTATTTTAAATTGCGCTAATATTTCACTGTTTTTACTATAATTTTGATCAAATAAATGAAGCCTTGGTGAGCATAGGAGACTGCTTTTAAAAATGTTGTATATTCTTTATATTATAGTAAGTTTTAGCGCATGATATTGACTTTAAAGCATGATATGGATTTTTACTGACATTTTCCAGGTATTAGACCTTGTCTTGTGTGGTTTATAGTGTAGAGTTAATAAGGCTCATTGTAGTTGTGTGTTTCTGCTGCCCTCTGCTGCTGCTGGTGTTGTTGTATGTGATGTGTGACGTGGCATGGTGAACTCCTCTTTCTCTGCCTTCAGTGCTCAGACCATAAACACACCACACAGTCGTATGTTGGCAAGCACAGCAAAGCTTGCAGCAATATAAATGGAAATTCTGCATAAACAGCAATTTTCTTGTGTTTCCCAATAGGTTCCATGACAATTTTGGGACTGTTGTTGTATAACTGATAACTATAACTGAGCAGATCCACTTAGACTTATTGTACTGACAGTTTTAACCCAGCTTTCATTGTTTCAAGTACAAAAAAAAACAATTAAAAGCTGAAATATTTATGAACGTATGTGAATTTTATTTGCTTTTGTGAGCAAATAATATTTATAAAATCAAGTCATTTTGATTACAGATTAGGTCAATAAAATATTTTGACATACGTTTTCAATATGAGTTTAATGTGTTGCAATATGACTCATGTTTTGTATGGCTTTAATTAGTCCTTCCTGAACTGATGTAGTTTGTACTGAACCGTTAGGGCTCTCTAAATGTGATTTTTCCACAGCTGGGAAAAATGAAAAAAAAAAAAAAAGAAAGAAATCCAAGAGATGTGGCTATTTTTAGAAAGGAAAAAACACTCCAGAAAGTTTGTTTGTGGTTTTTCCACTTCGAATAAAGGGAAATTTTTCGTCATGGTAACCATGGATTCCCTCCACACCAGCTAAACTACACCCACAGTATGTGACATGTTGTTAATGGTATCTGTAGTTTTGATTGGTGAATCTGTACTCACTGTTTTCTGTCACTGTGTTCCTCACAGGTGGATAACGCCAAGGTTCTTCACTATGTTGGAGCAGGGGTAGCCTTCCCCACCAGTATGCTGTTTGTGTGTCTGCAGTCTGCACTGACCTACCGCCTGGCGAAGACTCAGGGAGAATATAATGTGGGTCATTTGCGCCTCTTTATGACCCTGCTGGCCTTTGTGGCCCTGGTGCTTAGTATCCTTTACACTATAGCTCATTCTCATGTCATTATATTGTATATTTGTATTAGGATTGTGAATCAGTTTAGATTAGGGCTGTCATAACATCAGATTTTCACTACATGATTAACGTAGCCACAATAATTAACAATAATGATATTAATGCAAGAGCTATAGAAGAAAAAACAATCAAATCCATCTCTATAATTTTTTTGTTTTGTTTTCTCTTTATTGGCCAATGATTTGTAGATGGAGAGAGAGAATTAACATGTTCACATTGTAAGGAATGAAAAAAGAATGTGTAATTAATCACTAATAACATATTGGCTGTTTATTAAGCACATATTCTGCATGACCATATTCTGCATCCCTAATCCTATCCAAAACCTAAACTTAACAACTACCTTACTAACTATTAATAAGCAGTGAATTAGTTAATTGAGGCAAAAGTCGTAGTTAATGGTTTGTTAATAGTGAGAATTGGACCTTACAATAAAGTGTGACCTTTTTTCTTCTTCAAATCAATATAACATTCTGTCCTGTTCTCCCACCATTTCTCAAACCACCAAAGCCAATAGTAAAACAAGTAATTACTTTTGTATGTGTTATTGTCATTTGTAAATACTTAAAAAAAAAAAAAAAGATAAGTGTAATAATAAATTGAATGTAAAGGTAAATTCAGTTTTAAAATATCGATAACACTTTATTTTAAGGACCAATTCTCCCTCTTAACTAGTTGCTGATTATCATTGTGTATTACTAGCTTATTGGCTGTTTATTAGTGCAGTTATTAGTTTATTAATTTAGTTTTATTAGTAGTATTAATAGTATTAGTATATAATAATATTGCATTAATAGTATTATTTATTGTTATTTATTAGTATTTATAAAGCACATATTAATGCATTATTCTATATCAACATCCTCTATTAACATTAACATTCTCTTTTAACATTTTAGATCCCTTAATCCTACCCCATACCTAAACTAACTCAGCAACTACCTTACTATTAATAAGCAGCAAATTAGGAGTTAATCGAGGCAAAAGTCGTAGTTAGTAATTAATAGTGTGAATTGGTCCCCAAACTAAAGTGTGACAAAAATATCAAGCACTGATTTTAGATTTTTATATGCATTATGTGCGTTAAATATGCATTCAAATGCACAGGAAATTCAAATTGCGACTTTATTGCAAATCTCAATCTGCAAAGTAAAATAATTAAATAATGTAACAATTTTGTCACACTTTACATAACATAAGCAAATTTGGTGAGTGGCCGGAACTTTTTATCGAAAACATTTTCTATGATGTCAAAAAAGCATTAACAGCGTTTAAAAAATGATTAATTCTGACAGCAGCTGTTATTTTTTCATTGGTCAGGTTTAGTGTTGCAATATTCTCAGATAACATATTTTCCCAGAATGTTTGAATATCCTGTTGTATTCAGCTTTTGCACTGCTTTTCTTTCTCAGTCAGTGAGTTCATGCATGTTCTTCCTGTAATGCAAACAGGCCTGAGCATGAGTATATAGTGTTCACTATGATTCCTTGACGAAACTTTCCTCAGGCGGGGTGTTTTTTGTCCAGGAGAGTTTTGTCCTGCAACATGCATCAGCCATTTTCGAGTGGGTCTTCTGCGTCATTATTATGCTGTTCTACGGCACATTCGCTTTTGAATTCGCCGGGATATCTAGTGACACAATGATGGTGCTGGCCCAAGGGCAATCTCTAAAGTCCGTAAGCCGAGACCACAAAATGGAGTCTCTTTCTGGGGCCAGTCAGCACCAGCCTGAGAGCCTATCCATACTGTAACCGCAGTGTCCTGTATCTCTCTCAACACTAGAAAAAACACTACAACCGCAGAGGGAAAGTAACAGAAACTGGACATGGCTCTCATACACCTTTGCCAAAGAATCCAGCTCAGATTTTGCACATTTTTGAGTGACTTCTTCACTCTCTGGGGACCTTTTGAATCGCACAGCTTCCATGCTGGGAAAAACAAAGATCATTGCCTGGATGTGTTGGAGTTTCCATTAGATCTCATTGGGATTTTTAAGTGTCTGCGTTACTTGGATAACAGAACTACAGAGTGCTAGTTGGCAAAACTACATGCGTCCATTGGTGAAACCAAAGGACCGCTACAACAATGGTGTAGTCAACTAAACCGAAGCCTTTTGCAACCATCAACACTCAAGCTTTTTAACATAGTGCCTCAAAACAAATGTTATTGTGCCAATTTCAGACAATGCAAGACAATGGATCCCAAAATGCTGATGTTTTCTGTGCCTTTAGTTTTTTTTCAAAGGCAGAGATGGCTAAATAACATTTTATTGTCACATATCTCTGCTGTCTGTTAACTGATCATGGTGGTTCATTTTGCCTTAATCATCCTATGCTGTCTGAAATGTATTTTTCAGATGATTGTCATTACCGATGTGCCTTATACCAAAAACCAAATACCGATATTTAACAGAAATGTATGTCCATAGTCTAACTGCCTTAATTGAATATATAAGGCATGTATTTTTTTTTATATGCAGCAAATATTATGCTGGTTGTAAACAACTAAGCTGAACGAGATCAGCAAAAACCTCTCGCGAAACAGGCGCATAAGCTTATCACATTAAGTCGCCAGTAATTGGTGCCATTCCAGATGTCATGTTAGAGTCTATGAGTATTGCTGTACATTGTGACCAAATGTAATTGAGAAGAGTTTGTCCTGAGGTCAGTGTGATCATAGGTTTCCCTCTTTCTGTCACTGTGGGAATTGTTGTGTGTGTGTGTGTTGGGGGTTTATGGGAGTTGGTTACAAGGTAGCGTCTTGAAATGAAAGACTGAGTTTTCTCAGAAGCTGCCCTTTAATGTAAAGGGTGACTAGTTGAGGTGTTCTTAGATTACAGTAGGTTTCTGTGAGCTGTTTTTTTGCAGACAAAATGACTTGCAGCAGGACTGCAAGTTCAGAATTGATTTTGTTTTGAAAAACAGATGCAATTTGGTTTACATTGGTCAAATGTTTTCATGTATGACAAAAAATCGTATTGTTCCTCAATTAATATCAAGGGAGTTTTGTCATTTCATTTGTCAGGATAAGAGCCATATTTATACTTGTCACCGATTGATCCTACCAGTGCCATCCTGAAAACATATTTCGTGTCATTTCAGTTTACTAATTCTCTTCGCTCAGGAATTTCAGATCTGTCTTTTGCTGTCACATATCTTCTCTCTGCATTCAAGACTGCGTCGATCCACCAGATATAAGTGAACGTTATACCATTTCCGTTACTTGGTTATAACAGTTCCTTCATAGAAAGCTTTATTTTGCTTCAATTGCATCTTGCAATACTGTGTTAACCCCGTAAAAAATTCACTATATACTCACTTTCATTTTGTTTCAAATCCAAATGCTGTTATGTTTCCTGTGGAAGTCAAAAGAAGAAATTTGAAGAATTGTTGTGCAGCTCTATTCCTCACTTGACAATTCACAGTAATGACCACCATAAAAGTTTCACTGATAATCTTCCCCTTTGCTGAAGCTATGAAATCTCAAAAAAAGTGACGTATCACTCCATCAGTGCCATCAAATATGAGATTTGAGCAGTGCAGTATAAGGGAGGATTTTCTGTGAAAAATGTATTAAATTTCATTTTGTTTCTGACATAAAATGCAAAAAAACATGTTTGATAAAATACAGCAAACAAGTCACACAACAGCACACTGTTTTTGTGCATTTTGGAGCTTAACAGACATGAGAGACATTTTTAAAGTAACATGCAAACAACCAGCATCTTCAAAAGTTTGCAAAAATTCTCATTTTGTGTTCCACAGGGGAAAAAATAAATAAAGATGTCAACATGAGGGCGAAAAAGTCATTTTTGACTAGTCCTTTAAAGGGGTCATCGGATGCCCATTTGATATAAGCTGATATGATTCTTTAGGGTCTTAATGAAAAGTCTATAACATACTTTGTTTAAAATTTCTCAATGGTAGTGTAAAAAACACCCTTTTTACCTTGTCAAAATGAGCTCTGTTTTCAGCACGTCGTTCTAGTCCATGTTGCTTTAAATGCTAATGAGCTCTACTCACCCCGCCCCTCTCTTCTGTGGGGTGAGGAGCAGTACTGTTTACTTTAGCCGCGAAACTTGCTAACTAGCAAATATTAGGAAAGGCGATTTGCAAAGATTCATAAAAAACCCTATACTCACTTCTTGTGTAGATGAAGCTCGATCACGAATGATTCGCGCGAACATAGACGCATTTAGGCAGATCGGGGATCGGCGCATTCCCTTCAAAACGAAAGTAACGTTAATCCTCTGCGTCTTCAGCGGCTCAGATGTCGGGAGTAAATGACGACTGCAATGTTCATTATTACATCCAGTAACAAAACGCCTCAATCGCTTATTCGGAGACATTCTTGTCTTCCCCTGCACCGGAGTCCACACAATGGCTGACTCATGACAGCTCACTCAGGGCGGGTCTAAGGTAAGACGGCCTTGTCAATCAACTATCGTGGGAGGGGCCTGTGCAGAACTATGTCATTCTGACAGGAATCTCAAAACAGCCTGATGTGAGAAAGAGGATTTTAAAATAGAGATTTAAAAAAAAAAAACACTGGGTGGATTTTTATCATTATAGGATGGATGTTTACACACACTTCCAACATACATTTATGTTCAAACAACAACAAAATTGAATTTAGCATCCGATGACCCCTTTAAAAAACAGTTAAACGAGTCATTTTTTCTGCATTACCTTTTGCCTAGACTTGTGTTCCTTCATGTATTATCTATTAGTTTGTTTAATCTTGGGACTCTGACAGTCAATAGCTGTACTGCTGCAAACCTGCTGTCATCATTCAACAAGACATCAGCATTTAATGACATACCAGATAGCAAAAATACCTTCACGGGCCTTTGTTTAAACCAAAGATTGGAGAAATGTTTTGGAGTTTTATGGCAGGATGTGTTTGATGGTGCTGTAAATTTGCCTTAAAATGTATGGAAATAAAGCAGAATCAGACATTACACTCGGTAAGCTTTCTCTCTCATTTCTGTGAATGAACTTCTGTGAGTCATGTAGACCGTGTCACACAATTCCCGTTAGTGGTCACCATGGCCTTTGAGTTTATTTAAACAGATTGGATTTGGTCATTCTTGTTTGACTTATCAAGTGTTTCGCTTCAGCTTTTGGTGACCAATTGCAAAACTGTGTAGTAGTAAACATATTATTTGCACATAATGGAATGATTGGTTGGCATATTAACCAACAAATGAGTCATTCATTGTGTTTAAAGACACCCATACTGACACCAGAATTTTCCACACTTTAATTATTCACAATTATTTACATGTCAAATCCTTAATTCAATCTTAAAGACAAAAGTTGAAAATCTAAAAGAAAACAGTAAGAAGAAGATGGTTTATAGTGTTTTTAGGGGTTAATGCCTCTGTTGAACTCCCAGAAGTCTAAAGAAAACAAACGAGTGGCTTTCACACACATTTCAAGTGTGCAACATAATCTGGCTTTGTTCATAACTGAAATAGGCTATATACACACACACATATGCTCACTCTCCAGACTTGACAATTAATGCAAGACCAGCACAGGATCTGTACACGTAAACAACAATATTCTCATAATTTCCCTCTGCCATTATCAAACATTAATGAGATAATGAATTCAAAAAATGAAGCATAAGCTAATGTTCTTATGATGCAAGAAAAAGCACACAAATTAGACCCTTTTAAGACTGTAAATATATGATGCAAGGAATATGTTTATCAGAATGTATAACTTATAAAACCTAAAGCTCCCAATGGTCCACAATATGCTTATAACTCTTTGCAACACACTGCTGTAACTTGTTACAGCCACAATGAAAAACTGACTAAATAGTGAATTTGGCTCATGAAAAAGAAATAGAAATTACAATGTAGTAAAAACTGAATAATTATGATTTCAATCATTTTAAGTATAAAGCTGAAATGTGTTTTTCTGAGGCACTAGTGGCACCAAACAAAATTGCACTGCAGTTTTCCCGAGCTCTCCTCTGTTGATCGGAAAAACAGATATTCCCGCCCAAAACTCGCGCCAGTGTTGCTGCTGACAGAGTATTGTTTTGATAGCACCTCAGAGTCACAGTACTTACACTTTTTAAGGTAATCAAACTATGAAATTATTACTTAAGGTTTTCTCTATATATTCTAAGCTGGTATAGGCTAGGATGCACTTTAGCCGTAAGGAATGCAGTGTTGCCAATTTAGAAATTTTGTTGCTAGTTTTAGCAACTTTTCAGACTACCCTAACAACTTTTTTTTTTTTCAAAAAGCGCCTAGCAACAAATTTAGCTATTTTTAAAAAGTTTTTGGCAACTTTTAGCAACTTTTGTAAAGTGACTCAAATGATAAATAAATGCACATATTTTCATCTAAATTACACAAAAAGAGGAAACCATTGAACAGCTAGCCAGCCAAGCAGCACATCAACCTGGAGAGAGCTGGAGAAAGATGTACAAACATCAAATGTGCATTAAGTTGCTAGTTCCAATTGGTCAATAATAAATGCACATTTATGATACAGCATGTTATTAGCTTGTATATATAATTGTTGTTCAGTTAGGTTCACTGTAAGAAAAACTGTTCAGAATGTGCAGTTTTACTAGTTAATAAGAAAATACATAAAATGTGTAACTTCAATAATTCAATGCTGTAAAAAATCCGATCATAAAACTGTTACTTATGTTACTTTTAGAAACTTAAATATTTTATGTTTATAATATTATATGAACAAATACCATTAAAAAAATATTTTTCGTTGAGATTTGAGTAATCTCGTGTATTCTACGTAAAAACGCTGTTTTGTGTCATGGTTATGCAATGACGTCATCACGCAATGACATCACAACGCCGTTTAGCAACTTTTAGCAACAAATCGATCTGCCTTTAGCAACTTCCCCTGAAAATTAGTTGGCAACACTGAAGGAATGATAGATTGTCATGAGTGCTGATGCGGTGAAACAGTTGTGAGGGATCCTTTCACGATAGACTTCTAAGTAAAAAAACGGATTTAATTTATCAATCTTGACATTTACAGTATATATTCGTCTAATCTGAAATGTAGCATATGCGGGAAGAGAATTTAAATAAGCTGAGAGAGGAGCGCTGGAGGAAAGAGCGACTGAATGACTGAAGGTAAGACTCGCGCGCCTCTCAGTTTAAACCTTGAGACTCTTGGCCATCTCCCAGGGGAACTCTGATCGGCCAAAATGACCGTAGCAGGCGGTGCTCTGGTAGATCGGTCTCTTCAGGTTCAGGTCCCTGTCAAGTAGAAATTGAGTTTGTTAGCTTTTCACCAAACAGCCCTTGTCTGAATCCTACTTACACCAAAACTGTAATTAATTAAATAAAATGTACTTAATTTATGTGCATCGTTACTTTTTAAAAGACGCTTAATACATAGTAGAACTGCCATTTAAGCCAGTGGTTCCCAACCCTGGTCCTGGAGGCACCCCAACACTGCCCGTTTTGCATGTCTCCTTAATCAAAAACACCTGATTCAGATCATCAGCTCATTAGTAGAGACTCCAATACCTGAAATTGGTGTGTCAGAGAAAGGAGACATGCAAAATGTGCAGTGTTGGGGTGCCTCCAGGACCAGGGTTGGGAACCACTGATTTAGGCCTATTGGTGGTAGCGATACTCCCCCTGGAGGAAATATCGGGAAATGTCATGTTTACATATATTAGCCTACTATGACGATTGAGCAGGATTGTAATCAGTGTATTTCTTAAGATTTTTTTTTTTTCCATGTCACATATGTGACCCTGGATCACAGAACCAGTCTTAAGTAGCACGGGTATATTTTCTAGCAATAGCCATTGTATGGGTCACAATTATAGATTTTTCTTTTATGCCAAAAATCATTAGGTAAGGAATGCAGTGTTGCCAATTTAGAAATTTTGTTGCTAGTTTTAGCAACTTTTCAGACTACCCTAACAACTTTTTTTTTTTTCAAAAAGCGCCTAGCAACAAATTTAGCTATTTTTAAAAAGTTTTTGGCAACTTTTAGCAACTTTTGTAAAGTGACTCAAATGATAAATAAATGCACATATTTTCATCTAAATTACACAAAAAGAGGAAACCAACCACATTCACATCATATGTGAATTCACTTTAGCCTTAAGGAATGCAGTGTTGCCAACTTAGCAATTTTGTTGCTAGTTTTAGCAACTTTTCAGACTACCCTAACAACTTTTTTTTTTTCAAAAAGCGCCTAGCAACAAATTTAGCTATTTTTAAAAAGTTTTTGGCAACTTTTAGCAACTTTTGTAAAGTGACTCAAATGATAAAAAATTGCACACTAACAAACCATACATCAATGAAAAGCTTATTTATATATATAAATCAATTTCAAAAAATTTGTGGTCCAGTGTCACATATTTTTAAGATGTGTACACACACTGGTTCATGTTTTATGGGGAATTCCAATAGGTGTAATGTTTTTTATAGTCTATCGTAGAAACTTTTTTTCTGCCCCTTAATCCTAAACCTAGCCCTCACAGAAAACTTTTTTGCATTTTTAGATTTTCAAAAAACTTTATAAGCTGTTTTCCTCATGGGGACTAATAATAATAATAATAATAAAATCCAAAAACATTACTGGTATTACTATCCTTGTGGGGACATTTGGAAGGGAATACCAGGTACACACACACACACACACACACAATATTGTAAAAATGTGTAATATTATACCATTGAATCTGCCCAAAATTGTGCAAACGTGAACTTGAACCAAGTTACATGCTAAAGTGTAAAGAATTCACAATATTGTATTACAATAGTGTCCTCATTATTTCAAGAGGGCAGTTTTCACTTGCTGTTCATATTAAATATTTATATTTACTTTAATATAGAAAATGTTAATTTAGTTTTATTTTGTGCTTACTCATCAGAATCAGAATCAGAATGAGCTTTACTGCCAGGTATGTTTTCACATACGAGGAATTTGTTTTCGTGACAGAAGCTTCCACAGTGTAACAGAATGACAGTGACAGAACAAAAAACACAGATAATAAAAAATAAAAATAAATAAAAAATAGAACAAGTAAATAAGGAATACAAATATATAAATTGACAATTGTATGTGCAGGTATATTACAATAGACAGTTTTGTATGTACAGGTAGTTTTTAAGTTTAGGTCATTGACTAAAATGTTATTTTCGTCTACTAAAAGTAGCTGCTAATTTAGTCAAAGTAAACCTGATTGGATGGGTATAACATTACATGACACTTTTGAACCGATGTAATAGCAGAGAATAACCCTTAATTCCCCCTTATTTTAGTGAACTAAATTCCACGTAAATATTGTTTCCCTCCATTTTCAACTCACCCACATAAAGTACTGAACTTAACCATTGTGTTTTTAAGGCTGAAAAACAGAAAATGTTGTTTTCCTTCCCTAAAGTAGAAGAACATAATAAGAACATATTATCTTATTAATTGTTTACCTAACAATGACACCTGGTCGGAGGTCAAAGTTCTTGTTGACAATCTGTAGCAACTCCTTCTCTGTTTTTTCTGATGAGCCGTAGGTGAAAAGGGAGATTGAGAGAGGGTAGGCGACTCCAATGGCGTAAGACACCTACAGAACACATTAAATATTCATGACCCTGCTCCAGACACCAGCACATCCATTCCAGATTTAATCCATATCAGATCAAATTGGTCAATAATGTGGATCTGTTTTTTTTTTGTCTAGACACAACCTTATGCATTGTTCACAGTTTTTTATTCAAGATGTCTACACTTTTGTCTTACCTGAACCAACACTCTTCTGCACAGTTTGGCCTTCACCAGAGACTTAGCCACCCAGCGTGCAGCATAGGCAGCAGAGCGGTCCACCTTGGTGTAGTCCTTTCCAGAGAATGCTCCACCACCATGAGCCCCCCATCCACCATATGTGTCCACAATAATCTTCCTACCTGTGACACCAGCATCTCCCTGAAAAGCAAAGATTTTATATGGTTATACCAGGGCTATTCAATTAGTTTCATTTGAGGGCCGGATTATCGCATTGAAATTTTGAAGGGGGCCAAGGGGGTGGGTGGCCGTCCCAATCTCTTTCTGAGGGGCCTATAAAATTAGAAATTAAATTTAAATGCATATTCAGCAGTAAAATGAACTAATATTATCAACACCAACATCTATAAAAGGTTAACATTAGTGCTGTCTGTGAATCGATTTAAATAAAAAAACAACAACTAATTATTCACATATTTTTCTGATTAATTGGGATTAACTGCATATTAATATATTTATATTGTCATAATTTCACATTGAACCTCCAAATTAATGTAGAAACAATATAAAGATGGTATATTTTAAATATGTGTTTAATGGCATCTTTTTACTGAGTAGCCTATTATTAACCATGGCCAGTATTTTTGATAATGCCATACTGCTACTGATGTCTCTATTAAATGCATTTTCCCCTTAATTTTAGCCATTAATTATAGCAATTCAACGTTACAGTATAATTGAAAGCCATTATTTTTAACATTTAGTAGGTTCTGAAAAATATAATTTTTAACTTTTAATTTAAGTGAACTTAAAACAATCTTCACATAAACTATGAATTGTATATGCATAAACTATATAGATTAATCTTTACTCAAGCTACAAAACTTAATCAGCGACTAGAGCAGTCAAGTGATTTCTTTTTCTTTTGTTCTGTGATTTACATCAATATGACAGACTTCATCAGATTTCACTTTAAAGGGGTCATATGATGCGATTTCAATTTTTCCTTTCTCTTTGGAGTGTTACAAGCTCTTGGTGCATAAAGAAGATCTGTAAAGTTGCAAAGACTAAAGTCTCAAATCCAAAGAGATATTCTTTATAAAAGTTAAGAGTCAGCCACGCCTACCTAAAACGGCTCGTTCTAACACACCCCACATGTCTACGTCACGATGTGAGAAGATTTGCATAACGCCGCCCAAACGTTCACGCAAAGAAAGAAGGCGTAACCTTTATTCTCGCTGTAGTATTGTTGTTGATAATTCTAATAATAAATCAGCATATTAGAATGATTTTGTGCTCCTAAATTTTTTAAGTTAGCATGACTGTTGAAATTAAATGGTAATACTTTACAGTAAGAGCTCTTTTGTAATATTAATGAAAGCTGTAAAAGTATTGTTCCTAGTGTGTTCATTTCAACATTTACTATTATTAATAGGCTATATTTTTACATTTTAAAGTTTCTTTTTTTAACATTAGTAAACTATGAAATAACTTTAATGATCAATATAATAATTAATATTAATATGTTTATTCATTTACAAAGTATGGTTCAGTACTGCTACTGCTTTTTTAAAAATAGTAAAGCTCTGTTTTAGTTTTAGTTTACCATTTTAAAAACTATCGGTTGATTAATCGGTATCGGCCAGTGTGGTCCAACCTAGCTATCGGTATCGGTAAAATCCACTATCGGTCGACCTCTAGTCTTGATATTTACTTTGAAAGCTAAAGCTCGTGATTATGGTAAGGGGCGTTACATTTCCGACGTGTGCTTGTGGTGTTCGGCCAATCACAATGCACTGGGTCAGCTGGCCAATCAGAGCAGACTGCGCTTGTCAAAGGAGGGGGCTTTGTTGAAAACGACTGTTTGAGAGAGGCGGGGCATAGAGGACCTACAATAATGTACAGTATTTGAAAAATAATGTGTTTTTTGAACATTAAAGCATGTCAACATATTCTGTTACACCAAATACACAAAATAATGATCTTTAAAATAGCATCATATGACCCCTTTAAAAGCAGCGCTGTCACTGATGCACATGACGCGTAACTGACACACACCTGATTTTCTCCCAACTCTTTATGGTCATTTAGGATTTTATAACTCATTTAAGACCGTGTTTACGAGGTCACTTGCCAAAACCCAGCATTTTGACATAATTGTTTGTGTTTTTGTCCATTGAAGCGCTACTGGCGCGCTGAAGCGGCTCAGAATACAGTTGAACGCACAGTCTTTCAGACTATACTCCATTTGATAATCATCTTCGTGCAGTGTCTGCGCTATTTCTCGACAGAAGTTATGACCGACAACAATGCCTTTATACTCCTTTAAACTAAAGTTGTGGATATGTCATAACCCCCTCACACAAGCGCTTGTCAGCGCTGCCATTTATTGATGTTGCGGTCTCCGGTTATTGTTGTTGCTTCTCTCATCCCTTTCTTTTGCGACTGTCTTGGGCCAGTGTTGCCACCTTGTGGACAAACTAATTAGTGCAAAATAATGTGCGACCTGCGCGTACTCTTCCCTCGGGCCGGATGAAGATGAATGGCGGGCCGGATTTGGCCCGCGGGCCGCCAATTGAATAGCCCTGGTTTAAACAATAGTTCACCAAAAATGAGAATTCTGTCATCCTAATGTAATTCCAAACTAGTCAGTTATGTTTTTCTGTGAAAAAACAAAGGGAGAATTTTGTGAAGAATTATGAAACAGCTCTTCACCTCATAGAAGTTTGTGTCTAATCTGTGTTTGTGCACAGATTTGAAATGGCTCACCATGTGCTGCTACAATAAACATGAGAACCAGTGCTGTTGTGGTGTCAATGACATTGGCACGACAGCTTTGACATACAGTAGGTGAAACTTTTCAATTAATAATGATTTCATTTTGGTGTGTTCCTCACACAAGGAATAGTATTCCTTGTATTGCTTAAGAAGACTTGGAATATAGTGCACAAATAATACTAACTACTTTGTGTTTTTTTTTTTTTTTTTTGATAAAGCTGCACAAAGAGGTCTCAAAAAAATTCATTCTGTAGTAAAAAAATACAGCATAAAGGTTTAAAACAACATAAGGGTGAAAATGTAACTTTTTTAAGTGAATTAAACCTTTAAAATTCATTATATACAACAGTGTTTCATATAACCGTTTGAACCATAGAAAGTTCTCACCTGAGGCCCTCCGATGACAAAGCGTCCACTTGGCTGCAGATGGTAGACAGTCTTATCGTTGAGATATTTTGCTGGCACCACAGCTTTGATGACCTTCTCCTTCAGAATACGCTGCTGCTCCTCCAGTGAAATGTAGTCATCATGTTGGACGGAGATGACCACTGTGTGGACACGCAAAGGAATCACAGCGCCATTCTCCTGCTTGTAGTGCACAGTGACCTGAAGTTGTGGAAAACATCTGAAGTCATCATTTCAGTTGACATAGGGAATGTGAAGGACATTTCCTGCTGTATGGTCTGAAAATGGCAGAACTCTAAAATAGACCAGAGGTTTCAGCTTCCTGAGAGCTGCCCAGCTTGAGTTGCTGGCATGCTCCTGAGATGGAAGGTGCACAGCCGTGTCCTCTGTCCCACTGGGAAAAGTAAGGACCGGGGGCCCTGGATGTCATGCTGAGGGTCATTTTCTCTCAAGCATTAAAAGAGACCGCCTCATGGTCACTATCTTGCTCAACAGCCGTCACACCTATTGGCCAATGTGTTGGTTCAATGAACACTCGGCTGATAAGATAGCATGGTCAGTGTCAGTCAGGGGCTTTGAACCTGCACATTGTGGCTCTAAAGACTCAATTATATCAACTTGTGATTGTAAGTGTGCAAAAATAACTTCACAACATTTTTTACTCTAAACATAATATTTAGTTTTTTCAGTCTTATTTTGCTGACCTGAGTTTTTGAGTCTGGGCGGAGCCATGGGATGGTGCCATCCCGCCGCAGCTCAGCCATTTTGGCATTGAGTTTGTGAGCGAGGACAATGGTGAGTGGCATGCACTCCTCCGTCTCATCAGTGGCGTAGCCAAACATGAGCCCCTAAGACACGACGGAAATGCAATATGAGGATGTTTGTCTCAAACTATGTGCTCAAACACATTTTTACACATCTGTTGTGTTCGGACCTGGTCTCCAGCTCCAATATCTTCCTCATGTCTGTCAACGTGGACACCCTGCGCTATATCAGGAGACTGCTGCTCAAGAGCCACCAGCACATTGCAGGTTTTATAGTCGAAACCTAAACAGATGGAAGAGCAAAGAGTGGACATATATGGTGGATGAGTTAGCAAAGATCTGAAGTACTAGGCGGTATGCTGAAAATTAAAGTATGTATTGATCCTGACCTTTTTCAGAGTTGTCGTAACCAATGTGTTTAATGGTGTCTCGCACAATCTTCTGGTAGTCAACGTTGGCCCGAGATGTGATCTCACCACAGAGAAGTACCATACCAGTCTTACAAACAGTTTCTAATGATTAAAACAACCTTAATTAGTCAAATGACCCATGACAAAGGAAAGTTGCCATTTTATAATCCATTGCTAGGTTAGAAATGGAGATGTTATCCATTTAAATTCCCTTAAACTTTAGGGACGGAAAGAGTACAAGAAATGGTCACTCTATAACTGAACAAGAGTCAAGATAAGTGACCCGCTGTTGGACTATAAACGTTCAAACAATATATTGACAGTCATGTTTATACAGAAAGCCTTTACATGTTTATTTTGTTTGTGATTAAAAATATTCACTCACCACAGGCCACTTTGGCATCCGGGTCCTGCTTCAAGTGTGCATCAAGAACTGCATCACTGATTTGGTCACAGATTTTATCTATTAACGAAATCACACCATTATGAAACAAAGTTATGTCATGGCTCAGATGAAGGTTCAAGTGTGGGTTTAGTGTTATAACACCAGAAAGTTTCAGTTTAAGAGTTTAATGCCTGTCTTATAGTAAGCCTGTAGGACACAGTAATCCCAACCAAGCAAAACCCCAGCTGAGCAGCTGGAGGACAATACCAGTGGTCCTCTCCTTTCAGAATCATTCACTCAGTCTATATTTAGGCTGCTAGCTGAGGCAACAGTTTAGGTGAGTTACATCAGAAAATAGCTGTCCAAAACAACATATCAGGTGATAATATGAGACAAACAAGTCCAATCTATTAGATCGCTTCAGTCTGGAGCATTATGGAATAGATTTTTTTGCATCTTGCACATGCGCGCCTATTGATTGATCTGCTGAAATATGTGCTTATGGGAGATGTTATTGTTTAGTAAGACTCTCAAAATTTTGTTCATGTGAACCAGACAGTTTGCAGTGTTGCAAAATTTGTCTAGGAGGAACCAGACCGGATTAGATTAAAAGTCATTAAAACGTATTAAGAGTCATTAAGTTTGAAAGAAGCTTTGAAATATGTATTGTGAAATGCACTATGCAAATCAAACTGACTTAGCATTTTTCAGGAGTGCAGCATATGAAAATGTCTACAGCACTTTGGCATTGCAGCATGACATGAGAGAACCGCAATATGGTTGATAAGAAATGTGAGGTCTGGCAAGTTCCCACATGAAACAGAAATAACTACTGAAGCCAAATCTGTTGGCAAACAGGTGCACCGATGATCGACTCACTAGACAGCCATGGGACGGTGTCATAATCAAATCATTCACTGTATCAGTATGTTCATTATGAAATAAATTGCATAGTAAATGTGTAACTGAGAAAATCCTCAAAGTGATATGCAGTAATTTAACACCTATGTAAAAGTCATGACCCCTAATTTACTATTTTTGTCTACTACACTTTCACTCCATGAAATACCAGCTAAGCACATGGTACTGTGGAAGTTTTGCTACTGAAAGTGTGAATGAACGCCATTGAACTGTTGCTTAAGCAGCTTACTTCTGTAGGAACTGTTGCTAAACCAGCTCACCACTTCTATATGCTCCAATGACTTGTCGAGGCAGGTGAAGGTACATATCTTAAGGAGCAAGGAACATGTCTCCATGCAAGCACCCAGGTCCAGAATGCAAAATCTATATAGTACATACTACAAAATGTAAATGTAAAAGTTCAGATAGAAAATCACCTGGATGCCCTTCTCCCACAGACTCTGAGGTGAACATGAAGGATCCGTCATCATGAGCGTCATTCATTCCTTCCATGTTTGCCAGCAACTGAACAGATCTTCGAAATCAACAGGACAAAATAATCTATCAAGTGCTCAATAATTTTCCTCCAACTTTGGCTAAAGCAGGCCAAGTATGCAGAGCTCCTTATAGTCCCGAGGGCATAGAAGAAAGAATGATAGAAAGAAAGAGAGGTCTGCAGATAGATCATAGACTATAACACACAACCTCGCCTTGAAGTAAGTTTGCCCCTATATATGGCAGAAAGAAAACACACACACTAAGCTTTACTCACTCTCTCACTCACAAACATACACACATACACACATGTGTCATGTGAACGAGTGAGGCAGACCATTCCAGGGGGTGTTGTTTGGGGGGAGGAGATTCAAACTTTCAGAAACTTTCTGTTAACCCCTTGTGCGCTCAGCTCTGTCATATGAAGGTTTTCTTTGGGGTGGGATGGCTGCTGCTGTCAGTGGACACTTGTGGGCTAGAAATCATTCACACAACATACTAATATATATCAGGGCAGGAGTGCTTACAAACAGACCTGAAGGTGATTTATGATAAACTTTGTGGAAAAGTTATGTCCAGTAATATCAAATCTAAAGTGGGGTGTGGTGAAGTGTGCTTGGCTAAAATGAATTCTTTGTGGTTGTGTAATAAATGCATTGCAAAACCCTTTAAAAAACATAATGGTTTAACATATAACAATCAAGGTCTGTTCCAAGACATGCTGTGCTGATCTTTGTTAAATTTTGAACTGTCTATGCTCAGAGTCTGCATGGGGTTTTGGATTATTATCTATACTGATATGACCAATTCTTCTTTTTTTTTTTTCCGCAGTCAATTGTAGATTGAAGATTTCCACATTCTCAATTAAAAGTTCCTTTTCAAAGCTTAAAAGCTGCAATATGGGTCAAGCCAGGATGTGACCAAGGGTTAAAATGTCAAATTAGGAAGACTTACTGGATCAAAACTTTGCAAAATTAATGTAATTATTGTAATAGTGTACAGAAGTTATTTGTATACATTTTATTTTGCTGCTTCATTCTCTGATCTGGGGTGTTTGATTGATTTGCACACCACTTCATTTCTCTCAAAATCGCAGCATTTGGATGTTACCATATAAATATGTAAATTCTAATAAAGTAAAATAAGTACTTTACAAAATTATTCACAGATATTATCATGTAAATGCAGTTGTTAGCAGATATATTCATAGTGTTTGTGATAAATGTACCTTTTGTAATGTATCTGTGATATTGAACATTTATTTTTCTGTTGCCCTTTTTCTATTTCATTTTGGGTTGACTTTAAAATAGACATAACAAAAAAATTAAACAAAGCCCTTAATTTAGAACCTCATGATATTTTACTTTAGCAAAACCCATCTTTTTCTGATAAACATATTTCTATTATTAATCTGTTAATTATCTTAGCAAAGTTTTATATTCATAAGTCAAAAGTAATTCAAAAGAAACCATCATATATTACATTTTGTAACACTGATCTTAAAATATACTTTGAAACCCTTTCTAATATGAGATCACAAAATAAGAAGCTAATAAAAACAATACAAATTCTAAAGCTTTTCAAAATGATGTAACTGCCCTAATGTATGTATTATTAATATTTTTTTTTATCCTGTTATTTTTATTTTATTTATATATGACTTCATATATACTGTATGTTTTATATATGAAACATATATATATGTTTGTATTAATTTTGCATTTTTGTTGTTGCTGTTGTTCTGTTTTGCATGCTTTGAGATGTGCAACGTTTCCCTGTTTGCATTGTGCCTTTGTGTGATGGAACTGAATAAAGGGAAAAAAAACTTTTTTTCTCTCAAAATCGTAAAATATTTCAAGCGCTCTAATACATGAATTTGAGCTGAGTAATGACATTTGTCTTGGGTTGCTTTACAGCAGAATTTAATTTTCCCACTTAAAGGGTTAGTTCACCCAAAAATGAAAATTAGCCCATGAATTACTCAACCTCAAGGTATCCTAGGTGTATATGATTTTCTTCTTTCAGACGAATCCAGTCGGAGTTATATTAAAAATACCGCTCAGAAGTGACGAACACGGAAGCGCAGCGGAGAGATCAAAACAACGGTCACGAATTATAAGTACAAAACGAGGATTTGTAAAGAAGAATGTCGATTCGAAGGATTTTGATATAAGCCAAGAGGAGACTGGTTTTCCTTTGCTAAAGTAAGGAAACTTTGCTTCCTTTGCTCCTGTTAACAAACGTTGGTTTTCACGAGTCTCACCGGCGCATGCGCAACGCTGACCTCATACGTCATCCGCCCGGAACTGCTTCTTTGTACAACTGTTGGCGCAAGCTACATTAAAGTGATTATTACGTTTTGAATATGGATATTTTTCTTACAAAAACACATCGATTCACTACAGGACACCTTTGTTCACCCCCCGGAGCCGTGTGAGGCACTTTTTCTTATAAATGGATACGCTTTATTTCACTTCTTTTGGACTGAAGCACTGCAACACCCGCTGACTGCCATTAAACAGCTTGGAAGATCAAAGACAATTTTTAATATAACTCTGATTGGATTCATCTGAAAGAAAGAAGTCATATACGCCTAGGATGGCTTGAGGGTGAGTAAATAATGGGCTAATTTTTGGGTGAACTATCCCTTTAAATTTGCATCACTGATTCTTTTATTTCTTTGTTTATTACTGTGACAAATCTGTCATTGTATAAAGTGCTATATAATTAAAGGTGATTTAATAGAAAGCAAGTTTAATAGTTAATAGTTTATTGTCATTTAGTAGATGCTTACAAAGCAACTTGTAGTACAGTAAATGCAGGGCCCTCCCCTGAAATAATCTCATGCCGTGCTGTCAAAGGCACAATGGTGACAGGGCAGGATTGTGATCTTAGTTACTCTCCAGTTCTTTAGGTGCCCACACATGGAATTAAACCTACAACTTTTATGCTTGAGCAGAAAGACAAACAAAATCTATAGGAACCTATAGGAATGACCTATATAACCACTGAACTGGCTGAATTGATGGTGGATTGCACAGATGCTGAATAAATGTATTGATGCTTATCTGTGAACAGATGTGTTTAACTTAAACATTATAATATTATAATTTTGCAGTTGGTGTTAAGTGTACAAATTTTGTTTTTCACATGGCAGTTGAATTTTGGAGGGAACAAATGAGTCAATGAAGTGAGATGGCAAGACAAAGGTCAGTTTCTTGTTGAACTCTCAACCGGAGACATGTGGCATAAAAGATGAACTCTGAGAGAAAAAAAACATAATTAGGTCCACTGACATTTTTCCACTGAACAACTGAAGACCATTATTTTCAATAATCATTACATTATAAAAATAATTAATTCTAATAAAAACATTTTTACAAAAAAAAAAGAAAAAAGACTGAAAATGAGCATTGATTATTTTTTTTCATGTAAACTACACATGGACAAACAGGTGAGCACGTGAGACCACACTTTATGGACTATGATCTTATAGCTGTGAGTAGATATGTGGTAGCTGTTCAGAGATGGCCCAAAAATCTGGTCAGAAAACAAACTCAACCAAACAGGATGAGAAAACGGATGCAAGCAGGGCTAAAATGAGCTGGTTTAAAAGTTCATGGCTGACAGTCACACGCTTTGTGTATTGTGTGCGTGTATGATTGATCCACTCCTGAAGACACATATGACAGAACTATTCATGTCCATAATATGTCCTAGAAATATAGACCTATCCATTATGTTGATTTCAAGATCTGTTCTTGTTGCAGTTATAATTTAATCTTTAAATGAATTCAGGTGGCTCTGAAATGAAAGGTTTATGCTTTCCTTACTTAAATGAGGCCAAATTAATTTTGTGTTTAATTGTAATTTTATATTAAAGGTTTGGTCACACTTTAGTCTGGGGATCAGTTCTCACTATTAACAACAACTTTTGCCTCAATAAACTCTTAAATTGGTGCTTATTAAAAGTTAGTATAGGTAGTTGTTAAATTTAGGTATGGGGTTAAGGGATCTAAAAAATGGTCATGCAGAATATGTGCTTTATAAGCAGTGGTGTAATGTAACGAAGTAATAATACTTCGTTACAGTACTTAAGTATTTTTTGGGAGTATCTGTACTTTACTTGAGTTTTTATATTTCAGCCAACTTTTACTTTTACTCCACTACATTTCCTAATTAAAATGTATACTTTTACTCCGATACATTTCCCCGAAGCATATTTGTTACTTACTTACTCAAGTAATATTGTAAACGGTGACTTCAACTTCTACCAAAGTCATTTTCTGGTAAGATATCTGTACTTTTACTTTCAGGTGCTTTCAGGTACTTTATACACCACTGTTTATAAGTAGTAATAAACAGCCGATATGCATGCTAATAAGCAACTAGTTAATAGTGAGAATTGGTCCGTAAACAAAAGTTACCAAATGTTTAGTTATAGATGATATTCAGCGTTCTAGTTATCTCATTGAGCCTAAAATTCATGTACAATAATATTTTAGGTACTGAAACTCAAAATTAATGAATCCCTAAATGATAATAATTTTTGACAACAGCTATGTCTTTTGGCATAAGTATGTGACAGGCTGTCCAGATATGACTTTGTTTGACCCATTCCTCCGAACAGAGTTTAGTGGGATTGACCTAACTCAGTTTTCAAAAAATGCCACAATTTCTCAACTGGGCAGTGATGGGGTCAATTGTAGGACATTCACCTTTTTTCATGTGTCACCCTAGTGTTCATTTGTCCTTGTGTTCGAGATCATTGTCCAGCTAAAAGATTAACTTTCTCCCACGCTATAGTTTCAAAAGACTGTAGGACATCCTCCAATGGTATTTCCATCCATTCTTGCTTGATTTCAACAATACATATAGTCTCAATAGGAATGTCATCATCATATTGGAATTTAGATATTTTAAAGTCTGGGCATTGTTTGGATTTGGATTTATTTTTATTTTTTTAAAGAAAAGCTTGTTTTGTGGTTATCTGACCACAAGAGCTTGCTAATGGGCTTTTTGGCAAATTTCAAATTTGGCTTCTTTTGTATCACTCACCCACACAGGCCTGTTATGCAGAGCTTTATTGACTGGTGCACCTTTACAACGTAGTCAGTTTCTGAACTCTGTAGCTTGTTCAAAAGAATTACTGACTTGTTTGTGGCTTTGCTTACAGGTGTTCCTTTTGTGGGCATTTCTGTGTGTTTTAATTCTTTTGATTTATCTTCCTTTTCGACCAGGTTCACTCATTGAAAATGGTCATTTAGTCGTTATCCCTTTATTTAGAATATGATCCCAGTTGG